TCAAGCGGATAGAAGCATAGATCCAACAGCAGGGGATTGCCATTGGCAGTGACAACCTTCTCTAAGAGCAAAAGACGAATTTCATACTCAAAGTTTGGATTCAGATTTTGAAGGGGAACACCTGTTGTGGCATTGATGACATCCATATTTTGGATAACTGCCTTCTTTATAAGGTCATGGTGCTTTTTTTGTCTGCTGATCTTGTTGAATTTTGGGCTCAGTAGATCTAACTGTGGGTGTTGCAGATTGGGATCCTTGGCAATGGTTTTCATAAGGTTCTCAAAGGTTGGACGGTCGGTGATTCCACCTGGATACCAAGGATGTCAATCTTCTCAGTTTCGACCTTGACTTTGGTTTGAACAATGGCAATGGGACAGGTGATAGAAGGCCTCTGCTGACGTTGCCAACTGGATACCCTGGGTAATAGGCCATCGCGGAAGGTCTTCTTAGGTTTCTTCCCGGCAATGTAGGATACTGTGGCAGTTTGGGTTTCCTCTAGGCTGTGTTGGCTGAGGAAGAGATTGTGTTCCTTGAGAAAGGGAACCACTCCCTGAATCTTCTTGAGTGCAGGTACGCTGTCGTAATCAGGGCTTTGCACATAGAAGGAACAGGCAAATCGACGAATATAATCATTGATAGGACCCAGTCCATCACTGAGGCATTCAGCCACTTGACAAGCTGATCGCGGTTCATGTTTCCTAGGGAGTCCATGTCAATTCCATTGCCCTCGAAGTCTCCTATCCCTTCATGTTCTTTGAAGGTGATTGTGTACCTGTGATCAGAACACAATAGTGTAAACAGCTGCATGACCAGGGTAATAGGCATTGCTGAGGTTGCTGGACTCATTGCCTCAATGCGAACCCCAAATTAGTGTGTTTTGTGGCTCATTGCACCATCGTTGGCATCCTTAAAGCTTTCCTCGTCGTCATCCCTAATAGGATCTCCATTGTCGACATCCTGATTGCCATTGGTGTTGGATTCATTTGCGCTATCATCTGCATCAAGAGCCATGGGATTGGCAGCACCAAGTGAAGCAAGTGGGTCGGCATCTTGCTTGGACTCTTGAATGGTCATGGTAATAATGCCTGGGATCGAGGGAACATCAGTATCAGGAGCTGGTTCCAGTAGACCCAAGGACTTTGCTCTCTGGTGAATCTCTCTAGGCAATGGACAGTGAGTTCGCTGTAGCTCGAGAAGGGAGTTCCTAACACAGACAGAGGCAGTGGCATTGGCTGGGTCAGTTGGAACAAGGAATGCTAGGTCTGTTTCCAGATAAGTGAGTGTCTTTGCTGGATCAGCCTTCCACTTGCAAAGGAAACACAATGGGTCTTGTGGTCGGGAGATCATAAGCTGTTGACAGAAGCAATGTGGAGGCCTTGTGTACATCTTGGTGGGAATTGGTTGATCTGCTGGTTGTGGTGCAGCTTCCTGTTGAGTATTGGTGGGTAGGCTATCAGTGTGTTCCACGGTGGAGCCGTGAGTGTATGCCTCCAAGATGTGGGTTTGATTCTGAATTGCATTGGTAGCGACAGTGTCAAAGAGAGGGGCTAGTAACTTGGCAGGAAGTGAGACTTCATGAATGGGAAAGGACGTGTTACAGGAGCTGCAGTAGTGACCCGAGATGATGTCATCTTGTATGCCAAGCAGAGCAGTGGTGGCATCAGCACACTGCATATTACTGACTTCCATGGGATTGTGACACTGAGGACAATGGATGAGATTGTCTGTATGGATGTTAGGAACCGTAGGTGTGGTAATGGCATCTGTCATCTCCTGTTGCTTTGCAGTGCTTTGTAGATGCTGGATTGCTGCCGTGATTTCTTCATCAGTATGATTGACAGGGCTGTTGGTCTTGCGTTCAAAGGTTGGACTTGGTGAAAGCAACATCGTCAGAGGTGAGTCTGAGCGGGTGTCTGTTTCCAGCAGGGGGCTTTGCAGTGGAATGAGTTGGTTGCAGTTGGTACAATAGTGTATCGTATCGTCAGGTGCCTCGAGTGTGACTCTATCACGAACCGTGGGAAAGGCTGGAGCGTTGCAGTGGATACACCACACCGGCATAGTTGTCGGGTTAGGACCTTGTGTTTTGTGGCTAGTCGTATTAGGAGAGATCAAATCAATGGGATTCTCAGCATTGCCGGTGACAGGAGTCGATGACGTTGAGTTATAGTGATCGTTCGCGTCTGTGGTTGTCTTCATGCTGAGGGTGGTGTCGCTATTAGTGGTGTCGCTGACTTGCGCAAGTGGAGAATGGGCTAAGTTTGGTGGTTGAATCGTATCTGGTGATGTATCCGTGGGCCTCGCATTGTCGGCATCTTGTGCAGTTGATAATTCCTGTTTGCGATCAGTGATAAATTCATGGATGGATTGCTTTAGTCGATATTTGGATTTCTTCTTGGCGGGTGTGGGTGTCATGGCAGAAGAAGAAAGGAGGTACATTGTCGATTTCGTGCCTGCTCTCTGTGGCGCGAATTTGCCTATCGCTGCCTCTAGGAATTTCGACTGATGATCATTGCATTGGGAACATGGCTTCGAAGCCGCAATCGCTGGTTGTGGGATCTTTGCAGTTTTGTTGTGTGCGCCGGGAAGAACTGGCCATTGGGCTGCATCGCATAGCTCGATATTATTGCTTCTTCCTGCTGTTGACATGCTCGGCGGTTGTTGCATTCCACTGCCTACTTGTTGCATAGTGACGTACGACCCATTAAGTGATGTTGTGCCATGATTCTGGGGTGAGGAGTTCAGCTTCGGCCAGTCGTCCTGGTTGACATTGGTGGGAACAAAGGTCTGTTGGTGTGGTTGTCGCGTTGTTCTTCTTGCCGACCGTGTCATAGCGGTACTCTGCTGAGGTTTGGTTCGTCGTTGTGATCGATCTGGTTTTTCCCACACAATCGGAGTGATCTCATTTTTCGTTGTTGCTAATATTGGTGGTAGAGGAAGATCCTGTATAGTTGCGGGTGATGTTTGCTTCATTCGATAAGAGGCTGTCATTGGCTTTTTCTTCCTCCGATCAGTAGATAGAGGGCATCGGTTATTGGATCGAGTTGGGGTTGGCCGCGTCTCTGAGGCAGTGATCGAGTTTGTGCCGGTGGTGTCCGTTGTCATAGTAGACAGATCATCGTCGTCCGAATCTTCATTGGCAGTATTCCACTGTAGCCAAAGATCAGCGTTCGCAAGCGCCGAGAAGGAATTTCTGGTTTGCGTAGGACTTGATGGCTGACATTTACTGTTTGCTTTCTCTTTTGGTGTTGTCTTCTTGCTCCGTTGTATCATCTCGAAACCATCTTCCTTGGCATCGTTTCGTGTATTGACATGATTGTCATGCCTCGATGACTGGGTAGAAGCACTCCAACGGAGGATCGTGTTCGATGGTTTCGAAGCCGTTTCCGATGCCGTGAGTGGTGGTCCAGGTCCTTCACATGATATACTCCTGTTTGCCATGGTGTTACCAGTGTTAGGAGACATTTTCCGAGCTCGAAAGGGACCGCAAGACGCCATGGTGGCTCTTTTCCTTTCGAGTGGATAAGAAAACGGCAAATTTACTATAGAATAAACAGTACTAGTTTGAGAGGCAGTGTGCGTCCAGAAAGGGCGTTTCCAGGTCGCTTGGATCTGGAATTGTATTGTGGATCCACGGCTGTATTTATTTCCCACTTTCCACATAGCTTTACCATCACCATTGGCCTTCTTCAAAAGCTCTTCATTTTCCTTTGTCTCCCGGACTTTCTCATTCCAAACTTTCACCACATCACCATGGATGGCTTTGTTCTCAATCAACGTCTCAATCAAGCTTTTGACGTGTGGGGCAGGCACCAGTGTTGTGCCCATCGGTTCATTGGTGATGATTGACTTGATGGGTAGTTCTTTTTCCTGCTGTGTCTTGAAATAAGTCTTGATGGCCTCTTTTTCGTAGGTTCGACCATCTTGAGCAGTCACAGAGACCCACGGCAGCTCGTTTGATGGGACAAATCAGATCATCGGCCGGATTCTTCTTTGCTCGCTTTTCGTTGCGGGCATTTCCAGTTTCGACGTTTCGACTTCTGATTCTGCCGCAGTTTCTTCTCGGAATCTCTTCCGGCTAGAATCGGAGGCACCCTCTGTTGATGTAGGGGCTTTAGCACTCATCGCTGCTTCGTCGCACTACCGGTAGCTAGCTAGCTAGTAAGGGATCTATCGCCAACCACGGAGTTGGCTGGGTTAGAATTTTGTTGTGGTCGTCCCTTTTTTGGTACTTTTTGTAGGGTTAGGGTTAGCCGAGTTTGCCTTATTCATAATGTTCGGTTGTGCATGTATTCGTCATAAGGATCCAATGCAAGATACCGGCAACGGAGTGTAGCCAGCAAAGCGGAACCTGAGTGTGTTCGGTACTGTTGACACTGTCGCCGATGTAACTGTTCGGTAGCCAGCTACAATGGCTGGATTAACAATATTCGGTTTTGAGCATGTATTCGTCATAAGGATCCAATGCGAGGTAACCGAGTGCAGCGAGCAAAGCCGAACCTGAGTGTGTTCGGTAATGTTGCCACTGTCACCGATCGATGAACTCTATGGTAGCTAGCTACGATGGCTGGATTGACAATGTTGGT